CTCTAAATAAAATAATATTAGAACTTTTACTATTAATGCTAAAGAATTATCAGTTTTATATTTGGTGAAAAAGTGTCTGGAAACTTTTGACCACCCTTTGTAGTTATTTGGATTCTTTTTAGCTTGCAGTTTCTTTAGATAGTCTCCATAATTTTTCGCAAGATTATCATATTTTCTGCCTTTTTGCAATGCTGTTTTATGACTTTAACTTACGCAAGTTCTATATCCTTATGATCAACCATTTTTGTATATTTCTACTATAGCAATAGAAAAATTTTAATTAATGAAAATATATTTCTTAGAATTTTTTTTATCCGAAAAAATATTAGTTATAAAAACATCTATGCCTTGACACAAAGTTTAGCTTTCATAGCCCTTTCTTCTGCTTTCTCAGGAGATATTTCAGATACTAACAGGCGTTTATAAAGTCCAATTCGCCAATGTCTATAGGGGAGTGTTCAAATCCCATCAAATAAGATCCAGCGCTTGTTATCATATGGATTTAACTCGATTTTATTTACTCTCTCCAGATATATTTGATGATCATAACTACAGAGACCATACATATCATGTCGGGTTAGTTTCTTATTTCTAAGACATTCTAGGAACTTGTCATGTCAAAGCTCCCTTTTGACCACGCATTTCTTAACACCCTTAGCCTTCTGGATGCCATGCTTTTTCTCCCAATACTTTACACCTTGAGATTTTCTAAATTCTTCCTCTTCTAACTCTTTCTCAAAATCTGCATCTGTTTCAGGAGTTTTAGGATCATGGCCTGCTGGAAGGACTGAATACATCTTTGGCTTAAAACATACTGATTCGCCTATTGGGCCCCCCTTTGTCTCATCCTTCATTAGAAATAAGTCTCCTGAATAGTTAAGATCGAAAATATCTGGTCTTTCTGCTCGATCTTTATATATGTCTTCAGTTTCTATTCATATTATGAGTGAGTCTGTATCTATATAAAGTAGACGGGCCTTATCTCCATAGCGAGGCTTTATGTAACTGTACCAAAAGTTGAACATCATAGCCTTACTAATGTCGAGAATTGCCTGCCCTACATAGATTGGTTTGTTTAGAGTTACTGTGCTTTTTAACATATGGACTGCCGTAATTCCCCTTCGAATGCTTTAAAACCTACATACAATGGTGAACTTGCTAGACGTCTGATTTTTTTATCCTCTTCTGTTCGAAGTAATTCTACTCTCATATATTTACGAACGTTTTCCATTTGTTTACCAAAGATAGCATTGTTCTTTAGCTTATAATACATGATCCCAAACTCATCCCCATTGGCCTTTGCTATTTTTCACTTGCGAATGTTTTCCTCAATATAGTCTTTCATCTATGAAGATTGCCTAAACTTGATAGCGCTATGAATTTTTGTAATCTTCATTCCAAACTTCATATATGTCTGAAGAGCTCGATAGTGAACCACATAATTTTTCTTAAGATAAAGAGTCTGAACTAACTTCTCTCCGGACATGTATTTATTATTTCCAACTTCTTTATCTTGTACTAATCTTTCATTATATAAGCTAAGCCAGTCTTCTGAAATTATCTGCTTTTCTGACGCTAAAGAATAATCTGCAAAGTAATTGTGCAAGTGCACTGGAACTTCTAGATCAAGTTCAAGCATACAGCCTATTTTTGCATCAGGCGCGATACTTTGAATATCTGGTACTTCCTCTAGACTCACTTTACCCAAAATTTCTGTAGGCATATATTGGATCATTGCTCCTGAATATAAGGCATTCATATCCTCATATAAGGTCTAAGACTTCAGTTTACTAGGATCATGGTCTAGACATTGCGGATTATTTGATTTGGCATATCGATGACTTACCATTGTCATTCCTTCACGAATTCCATTTTCAACCATCAGATACTCATCCATATCTGTCATGAGCTTAAGTTCTGCTCTGCTACTTTTGTACAAAAAATCATTAAACATTCCAGGTGCAGAGACGTAATGAGATGGATCTAGGCCATCATCTTGCAGACACATGATAGTATAGTTCATGAACACATCAGCTAGTAAGAGTACGTCTGTCTCAAGGTAAAGATCATGATAGTCTCCAAAGCTCTGCATCTCGAATGTTTGCCATATTTTTTGTGCATATTTGTAATCCTCTTTGCTTATATTTTGCTAACTAAGAATTGAATAGAATTCCTTTCTAGGTGGGAGGCTTGTTCTGTCAAATTTTTCCCATGCATTTGTCCAGTCATATAGGAAAATGCCTTTTCGAAAAAGAAGCTTAATCTTATCTATTGAATAGCCTTTCTCAGTAAAGTACCTAACAGTTAGAAGGAATTTTTCAAGCTTTCCTCCTAAACATTCTACTAATTTATCAAGTTCCATCCCCATATGTTGGAAGCTGTCAAGAAATCAGAGTTGACCAACATCCATGGCCTTATACTTTCCTATATTTTCAGGGATACAATTTAGCTCATCAGCCATAAATTTTGAAATAACTTTCATGAGCGGATGAGAATCATATTCCCGAAAATTATGACAAATAAGGGGCACTTTAGTTTCGAAAGAGCCTATGCGCAACTTTTTATTACATGAGTCATGAGCTGGGCTTCGGTACATTCCATTTATATGATCATGATCTTTTACTTTTCGATTGAGTCTGCCTAATGCTTCTTTATATACCCTTTGCACTTTCTTCTTTTCAGGATGCTCCTTTTCCATATATGTTTCCCATTCCTTAACTTCTAATAATCTATGCTTTGCTTCTTCGAGTTTTTGTAATACTTCTGGTGCTGGTTTTAAGAAAGGTTTCTTACAAATCCAGCATTTCGTAGCATCATTGTATGCTTTAAGATCTCCTGGTACTATTATCATTTCTGCAGATGTGGATAAATCTGTCTGAATATTTAGAAGCTCTCCTTCGATTCTTTCAACAAATTTTTCTAAGGCATTAGAGCCTCTATATAGATCATGACTTACTACCTCATAATTAAGTGAACTGTTCATGCGAACTACTACGTAGCAGTATCCACACGGCTTATGTATCTGTATTCTTTTAGTATAGGTTAACTTTGTTTTCTCTTCTGGAGTTAACTTTTCAGTTAACATTTCTAGATCCCAGAAAATGCGATATGGATTTGGTTGCATGCATTTATGATTATAGAAAGCTTTGACACTCCTATTTTTCACCAGCATTTGTGGTTGCTGGGGGGCATTATTTAGACTCTTGCATTTTGGTAAATATTCATTATATCTTATCTTTGAAGAATATACATGAAGACAATAACGACAAATATATTTTTGCCCTTTATGTTTGCTATGATTGTACACCAGCTTATGTAAATCTTTGATAATGCAGTAATGACTTCTATCATCTTCTGTAATTACTAGAAGATTGACTTACTTGTATTCTTTTCCTCTTCTTTCTGAAACATGGCGAAATTCAAGACACTCATTCTGGTTATGCCATTTATAAACACATAAACTGATTTCAGGATTATTTTCTTCGAACTTTTTATAAACTAGTGTTGAGACTGGTACTGAAATTGGAATGTCATCCATATTAAGTTCCTCCACGAAACCTTCATATAGCCGATGTGGATTTCTTTCTGGATAAACTTTAACTGGATGCAAAATTCCTAGGACACTCCATCTGAAACACCAGTCATCATTATTTTGAATATTAATAATTCCGTTATTACGTTTTGGTATAGTTTCAGGTAAAGGTATATGGGCAGTAGGACTAATTGGATTAAAATCAGCTATCTCTATACTTATTTCTTCGATATAATCAAGATACGCATCTGACATTTTAGTATATAGTTAGCTCTAACCGTCACGCTATTACTTGCTTATAAAATTTTTTCTTTAATTAATTATTTCCTATTCCTTTCACTTTTCGATCAGTGAAGACGG